CCCTCTATGGTATAACCCTAAACCCTATATGGTATAACCCTAAACCCTGTATGATATACGTATGGAAATTCCTCTAATAGGAGGTCGGGGTTTGGGCTTCACGGGATTCGGGTATCTGGCTTTTAGGGCTCAGGGGGTTCAGGGCTTCCGGGGCTTTTTTGGGGGGTTTAGGGTTTAGGTTTGGGGTTTAGGATTTAGGGTTTAGGTTGAGGTTTAGGGTTTAGGGTTTATGGTTTAGGTTTAGGGTTTAGGGTTTAGGGTTTAGGGTTTAGGGCCTTATAGATTTTCGGATCCACCGCACGGCAGTGGCTCTACATACCTGGAGGATCATGGGACTTATGTTCAGGGTTCAGGGTTTGGGGCTTTAGGGGTTAGCCTTTCAGGCGGTTCAGGGTGGAGGGTTGCGGCTGGAAGTCTCTGCCTAGAGGTACGCCCTTCTTGGTCAGGTACTGCACGAAAGCATCGACGGTCTCCTCGCGATACCTTGAGGCAAACGAAGCAACAACTACAAGCTGGACACAAACCCAATTCCTTCGCTGAAGACCACTCCCACCTAAAGCCAAAATCCCAAACCCATCAAACTCCGAGCCCAAACCCAAGACGTTCCTCTCTGCCTCCGATGACGCTTGCAGGAGCTGGGGTACGTAGAGCCACTAATTAAACCCTGAAGCCCTAAGACCCTGAATCCTAAACCTCTAAACCCTCAACCCTGATCCGCAATCCCCAAACCCTAAATCCAAACCCCGAGTTTGAACCCGGATGCCGCGGGGCAACCCTTGACCCCGAAACTTGCAGGAATACCAGCTCAGGTACCAATGCCTGCTTGTGGGGGGTTGGAGTGGTCGGTGCTGCGTTGTTTTCAGGCTTCCTTTCATTTTGCATCAATACGATCATATAACTACCCCCCTAAGCCTGCCGTAAGTACTAAGGCTGCTACCACCCCCCCCCTTCCCCAGGGTAAAACCTATAAGCCCCAAAACTCAGTTAAAAGTTGGGGGCGTTTGGGGCTTCGGTCTTCCCGGGCTTCGGGCGATGGAGGCGTTGACTTTCGGGGCTCTGGGGTTTCCGAGGCGAGTGTTTCCGGGGGTTAAGGCTTTCAAGCTCTACCCTTTACCCCCAATAACCTACCGATTTGAGGACCTCTACAAAGAAATCATGATGGATGGCCCCCTAACAAGGTAGGTTTTGTAGGGTCCAGGTAAGCCTTATCAACTGAACAGGCTGTGCGGCTTATTGTGATCGAATTTAGCATGGGGCGTTCGAGTTGTAGGGTGTGGCCGCTTAGGGTTAACGTTTAGGGTTTGGCATCTCGGGTTTGGGATTGGGGGCTCAGGGATCAAGTCTTCGGGTGTGGGGTTCAGGGTTTAAGCAATGCGGTTGCGACAGATAACCCTAAACCCTAAACCCTAAACCCCTAAACCCTAAAGCATAAACCCTAAACCCCTAAACCCCAAACCCCTAAACCCTAAACCCCAAACCCTAAACCCTAAACCCTAACGCCTCAGTTGCAGGTCGAAGCTACTGGCGCGTGAACACGCCCACATAGGAGGCGAAGGAGCAGGCGACCAAGGTGTCACCAGGGATGTAGATCAACTCCTGCCGGTTTAGGGTTTAGGGTGTAGGGTTTAGGGTTTAGGGTTTAGGGTTTAGGGTTTAGGGTTGAGGGTTTAGGGTTTAGGGTTTAGGGTTCAACGGCAGCAGTTAACAACAACAAGGCTTGGGATGTAGGATCGAAGTTGGAGGGACCATGATATAAGGCTACTTATTCGGCCCCACGACCGACCCTACTTGGAGGTTCATGGGTAGTTATAAGTAGGGTTATAAGTCCCCTAATATAGGTTATAAGTATAGTTACCCTACTTATAACTCCACTTATAACTACCCCCTAAACCCTAACCCTATAGAACCCTTTAAAGGTGCCCTTAAAGGAAGCCCATAAACCCCACTTATAACTACCCATGAACCTCCAAGTACTGTCTAACTTCAGGCTGTTCGGGAAATTTGAGCCACAAGGACTCCGTTATGCCTTGCTGAAATCCCGCAAGAGGCTTCAGGCTTTCAGGGCTTATACCCGGCCCACTGCGCGAGATGCAAAAGAAGCTGCACGCTGGAACTCGAGCCAGACCCTAAACTTTAAACCGTAAGCCCGTAAGCCCTAAACTCCTAAACCCTAAACCCCTAAATCCCTAAACCCCTAAACCACAAACTTGAAACCCAACCCCAAACCGTAAACCCCTAAACCCCTAGAGTTTGGAGATGGAAGCTGATGCCGACTACACTCCCCCATTGTCGCTCGGCTTAACCAAAACGAAGAAGATCCTATGATATATGGGAGTTTCCGAAAATAAGGGGTACCTTATTGTTGGGGCCCGTATAACAAGGATCCTACCATTTAGGGTACTATATATAGCAACCCCCAAAAAGTTGGAAACCGGATGAAGGCCAAACAGTGCTGGGATTCCCTGCACATTCGTCTTAAGGATTGAGGCTATTGG